CAACTCCCAGTTGGCTGGCTGGGGAATTCTGGGAGTTGAAGTCCACTCATCTTAAAGGGGCCAAGTTTGGACAACACTGGTTTAAGAAAAGCAAACAACCTCAAATATGCAGGTTCCCAAGTCCTGAGAGGAGAATTTATAAACTTGAGGAGCGTTGACTAGCACCTCCCTAGTTCTTCACTCCTTCTCCAGGATCAAAAGATCTAAGAGCGATCTGAGAGACCAAAACAAGGCCTACCTCCGAGACTTTATATTCACAAGTCAACTTCTTCCCCTTGATTCCTTCATTCAGCGTGAGAATGAAGCCCATGTAGTCAGCATACGCCTGTGTAAAAACACGCACATTCACACAAAGTAAGGCTGGGTGTCAGCAGCATTTTGCAACAATTCTGTGAGGAACTCCTTGAGGAAAGAGCAGAATGGCAAATCATGGCCAAAGTATAAGAGAATACAAGATGGAAGCTTACCACTGGAATAGTAATCAAGTATTTCCAGACACAAAAGTACGTTAAGTGTAGAACAATGTTATGCAAAGACCTGTTTTTCTTTTTAATCACCCTAAGCCACAATATAGTTTCTTTGCTATCCCGTTTTATAAATCAGGGTTTCTGGGTGAGCTCAGCCTGTTGTGACTTATTCAATCAACCAGGATTAAAAAAAAGCAGGGCGTAACACAGAATTGTGTGTTTTTTTAAGACGGGGGACTGCAAAAGCGAGGCAAGGGAAGGACAGAAACAATTTGACATTCTGATCTGATTTAAATGCAATTAAAATACCATTTAAAGTGCATTAAAGTAATTGAATACAGTTAACGCGATTACTTGGGCAATGAATGCTATCAAACCAGAATTAAAAATTGGGGACAACTTTTGGAGAGGCAGAGGGGTGATAAGCAGTCGGGGGGGGGGTCAGATCTGTTCCTCTGCCTTAGCATGTGTGAATCTAGCTGTACATATTTCTGGACTAACGGTCAATGATCTTTGATAGCAGCAGAGGATGATGAAGTGGGAAGAGAACTCTTCTCAGCCGTTCTGTATTCCAAGTGACTTCTCCCTGACAGGGTTTTCTACATGCAAGGAATAGCATGCACGCCTATCATTCCTCTCTTAAATTCTGAAAGGGACAACCCAGGAGAAGGCTCGCGTGGGGCCTGAGGGCTCCTGCTTGGTCTGCGTCAGTTGCCAGGGCCAAATAATGCCACCCAAAGTTTTTCCCCGTACCTGAGACCGTTTCCACTTTGCCATGTCAGGAACCATGTTGATTTCCTTCTTGGGGATCATAAAGGTTTGGGCAGGAGGAGGCTTGGTCTCCTCAGAGGATTCTGGAGGAGGAAAAAGCAGTCAAAAGATATTTGAGATTTTGAACTTCCTTCCTTTAAATCTCTTTAGGAGACTTTTCAATCCATCTCTCAGTCATACCCTTTGCCTAAGTGAGATGCAAGGAAAATACAATCAAAAATGCAATAAATGCAAGGGATTAAACAGGTGTCACACGGGAGTTAAAATCCTCAGGATTCCAGCTTTTAACTGTTACGATGATTAAATCTGCAAGCAGGCAGAGAGAAAGGTGTGGGTCCAGATAAAGTCAAGTGAACAAGCCTTGCATTTTATTGAGGAAATATTTTAGGTTTCTGAACAAGGAGAAGAGAGGAGGGGTAGAACAGAATTAAATGACTACAAGCCCCCCAAAACAAATAGCTCTAAAACCAGGAAGAATACAGCACTCTAATACTCTTCTTAATATAACCAGTGATCAATTCCAAATTAATTTAAATAAGAATGCAATTGAGCAAAATGCCACAGACTTCGTTTGGATACAACCCAAAAGGTTTGATGTGAGAAACACATTTTCTTTGTTTTGGTTTTGCATAGTAATGCACCATACACTAGAGATTAAACAGGATGTCTCTCCCAAGGTAACATTTAATGATTGGACGTTTGAGAAATTTCCGCATTAAAGCAACCAGCAGCTTGTTTAAATCATGATGCTCTATTTGTCTGTTTAAAATGTTTCCCGTCACAACTAAGGAATCCATTAAACCCCAGAGCCTTTCCCCAAAGGAAGGTTTTAAAGGGGTCCCAGCTCTGAAGGGTTAAGCTTGGAAGCAGATTTCAAAAATACAGAGGCCAAAACTCGGCAGAACGTCTAACTCGATGCCAAATTACTCTTACCCAAAGATCTGAAAAGTTGGGAAGAAACTGCAAAAATAACAAAAGGAGATAAGGACTCGGGTATCTTGTCTCCCTTACCCTCCATCATCCCAAAATATATTCTAAGCTTTGGAATGTAAAAGACTTCAAGCTCAACCAATCCATCTCAATCAAACCATCACCATCATTTCCTGTTACATGCTAGAGAAGATCTTTCTCAGCCCAAGATTTTAGAGAGGCACTGCGGGTCAAAAGGAGGCAAAATTGGGTGAACACCAACTGGCAAACAGACCTAAATGATACAAGCCACTTTTCTATAATCCGGTTACACAGCATGGCCCGACTGTCATTCCTACACAGCCTTCAAGGGCAGCCCCATGGACAATGTATTACAGTAGCCCAGCTGCAAAATGACTAGGGTATGTACCATAAGATAGATAGCAATTGGCAACCAGCTGATGCTGACAAAATGAACTCCTAAACCCAGATGTTGACATCCAGCTTGAAGGATCTTACAAATCTTGATTATGTGCCATCAAGTTGGTGTCAACTCTTGGTAACCACCCAGATAGCTCTTCTCCAGGAGTTTCGTCCCCAACCTGGTCCTTCAAGTTTTCCAGTGGTGTACCCACTGAGTCCATCCACCCTGACTCCCTGAGTCCATCCACCCTGCTGTCTTCTCCTTCTTTCTACCTTTGCCAGTAGGATACACTTTGCTAGAGAGCTACAAATCTAGCCAATATCAAAACCCGACAATAAAATATCTTACTTTAACCTAAGCAGATTCTGAATTGGGGGAACCAGAAGAAGCAAGCCGCAACCCCAGCAGTTCGTCAAAGACAGGCTTCATGCTAAGACCACCTTGACCCATTCTGCAGAACTGCCCATATCAAATAAATCTTAATTGAATTAACCATTCACACAGGATACGGGTGAGAATAAGCAGAGAGCATGAGGGTTCAGCCAATTATATCCCACCTCTCAAATCCAAACTAAACCAAATCTATGCTGCCTTCACTGTTATTTATTTAGTACAATTTCATGGATTTGGCAGGTATTCTTTGTTAGCAACTGTATTGTACAGTTGATCAAGTTTAGCTCATTTCGTATTCAGGTTCCCATCAGACCCGCAGTGAAGCCAATGCCTCATCAAGAATCTAATGTATTATTTTAGAAGGTTCATCCCGTGTTTCCCTTCTCACTCAAATAAAAAAAGAAATTGTCCAAAATAGCGTTTGAAATATAAAAGCAAAAAGAATACCTAAAAACATGAGAGAAAAAAACACACACACATATAAATGAATAATAAACAGAACTAAATGAGAGTCATATAGTTGTGTTTCTTCATTTCCCTGGCAGAACACAGAGAGCAAGGGACACGATTTACCTGAAATTCACTCATACTTCTTTAGTTTTGCTTCCACATAGTATCTGAACCTAGCCATGGTTTGGAAACAGGGCTTCTGGCTTAACATGTGACCCCAACCACCTTTGGCTTATTCAAGAAACCACAATTTAGCGTAGGGTCTGTCTCAATCAGTGCCCGCAACTCTTCAAACCGAGGACCACCTTGAACCAGACCGGTTCAAGGCCAGACACCAAAAGGCACAGAGAGAGAACGTCAAGAACAGAAGAGAGCAAGAACAATGGTTGACTTCATTCCGGCTCCAATCTAATTCAGACTCATTCGTTCAGGACTGTCCATGTTCTTCTTCCCGGATTTAATCGCTTTCCCCTTCTGCCACCTTAAAAATGACTGCCTCTGCAACTGAGGAGAGGACTGGGGGGCTGCGTCCAACCTTGAGAAGCGTGAGCTCCTGAGTGTGGGGCTGCTCACTATGGAAAATGCCAAATGGCCCTGCAGATTTTATCCAGCTTCCTTCACCTTCAATCAGCAGTGCAAGTGAGAGAAAGGTGGTGGGGAAAGCAGTTCTAACAGAGGGTAATTAGCACAGGCACAAATTAAGAACAGATCTGATGTTAGCCTTCTTCGGTGGAGGGGAGGAAAAGGAGAAATATATCACAAAAAGGGATGCTCTGGGTTTAGAGGTCCATCGTTCGAAACAGCACACTCCCCCCAAAGTGGCCCAGAAGTTTGGCAGTTTTCAAAGGAGAGCCAACGCTAGCGCGGGTAGAAGTTCCCCAGGGGCCCTGGCATCGGAGTCACAGAGTCGTGTGAAAAATGCAAATGATTAGCGGGAGAGTCAGCAGGACTCCAACTCCTCCTGTGGTTTGGTTCATTTTTCCTCATTAGCTGGAGGAAGAGAGAATGCCTCTATATTGCTGTCAGAAGCTCCCAGATTTCCTCCCCCTCAACACACACACAATGGGGAAGGGGGGGGCTTTCCGTTCTAAAAGTTGCCTGCTCTCGAGGATGAACGAGCGCTCGCAGGGATGCGGCGGAACGCAGCACACTGTGCCAAGGTGAATGCAGTCGTACTGCCGTCAGCAAACCCCGAAGGAGGGAGCCCTACAGCGAGGAAACGAGGATCGAAAAAACCAGGAAAATGGGGCAGGAGGAATAAGGGAGCGCACCATTCACAAAATGCAGAGGATTTCATTCCCCTCGTACACAGCATACCGCTGATGGTTAATAATACTCTTTAAGTTTAAGGACCTTCATCCCTCTGGATCTTTTTCACCCAAGATCCTGGAAAGGCAACAGCCAGATAGAATCCCGCAGCTGCACATTACGGCAGGATACCTTTGGCCTCCTGATCCCTTTACCTTTCCAATGCATGCTGGGGTTGCTAGATTTACAACAGCCCTACGAGATCTACCATTCTTGCAAGCCAGTGCAGAATGGCAGCAGGGAAACTCCATCATAAAAACAAAAATAATGCCTTGATTGAAAGCCCTCTTCAGCTCCAGCAGTTTTACCTAACTTGGCGCATGTAAGGTTCACTCTCACTCTTTAAGGGGCGAATTAGCAAGCCCACCCCCACGAGGGCTGGGTGGCATTCCCACAGTGCTATTTCCTTTCAGGTTAAGCAGGCACAGACCAGGAGTGAAAAAGAGTAAACGAGGACATGCAATGAGAAGAGGAAAAGTGCGAAAACTGCTTTACGTCAACAGTGTTCTATCCTGGAACACCTTCCTCGCTTTCATCAAGTTCACACACCACTTCATACATTGCTTTTTTTTTCTTTAATTTTTTTCACCTCTTTCTTCCAACCACAGCTTTCTCTGTCTTCCCTTCCCTCTCTTTCTCCCTTTGTATATTTTTTCTGCAATTCATCCATCTAAACCAGCATTTCTCAACCTTGGCAACTTTCAGATGTGTGGCCTCCACCCCCAAGATTCCCCCTTGCGGGCGGGGGAATTCTGGGAGTTGAAGTCCACACATCTGAAAGTTGCCAAGGTTGAGAAACACTGATCTAAACTATTGATATTGGTCACTCACATTTGTATTCAGCCCACATTCATTCTTGATCCTTTCATTTCTTGTTTCTCACCCCACACCGCTTAAATACCCCATTCCCACAGTTTCCAACTTACTTTTATATTTCTCCTGACGTACCCAACTCTCACTTCCATCTAACAAATAGGCCGAAGGAGTTACAGCAATTTTCATTTCTTTCAACAAATACCTGTTCCTTGCAACAGAACACATACTGCCCACTACTTTTCTACGAGCACATGTGCATCTTAAAACTTCTCTGTCCAGATCCCCAACTTTATTACTACTATTAATACACATTCATGTCCTAGCACCTCTAACACCACCCAAAGCATTTGCTTGACATTTATCCCTAAACAATTGAAAGACCATCACACAACCTTCTCTTTCTCCCCATTCACTATTTATTCTCACGTGTGCTTGACTTCCCTCATACGCTTTTCTCTTATCCCTTTCAGCAGCCAACCTTCAGCTCCATATTCACACAAACATTCTATAATTCAAGCCTATTCCCTTTATCATACCTTTTCTCTCAACCTACAACCATTTAATAAACTTTCTTTCTCACCGGCGTGTATTTCTCAATAACCTGCCAGAGAGCAAAAACCTGGTCTGCCCACCCCATGCTTGCGAGAAAGCCAACTTCGCGTCCCAGATTTTCCTCACGAACTTCTTCTATCCTTTCAATTTGAAGTGTGCCAGGCACGCCAGGCACTTAGCAAACAAATGTCTCTGTAGTTTGGCATCCACTCTTGCTTTTGTATTGGGGAATAAA